GTGTCACCTTTTTCTGTTTCCTGCTGCGGACGAGGGCAGCTGCTCGGCTCCAGAGCTTCATTTCTTTACTCTCCTTTTCACGGAGCGTCACAATGTCTCTCATCTGTTCACAGAACAGAACATCTTTAACTGAACCTACAGGTACTTTTCCTAATCACCCTGGGAAAACTTTAAGAATGAAGGCGTTGTGGGGACTACTCTTTTAGTCCAGGGTGTGGTTACCTCTTTCACCGACCGCATAATATGATGAGTCACCTTCTCTTCAACCTCCATCAGTTCCACCAGCATCTTATGCAGGGTTACGGTTGAAAACGGCTTCGCAGATAGATCCACCTTAAGTATGAGTGGAGTGCATGAACCCAGAGGCAGATTAGAAGCTTTTAGACTGAAAGAATGTAACTGTGATATCTGCTGTCATGCATTTGCGACGTGTACCTGGAAGGTGGAGATCATGTCCAGAGAGATTTCCTGTGCGTTCCTTTTTTCTGAGCCCAGTGGCTTGATGAAGCCGATCTTTGAAGGGATCAATCGGTCCTCCGTTACGTGGTAGGTCAACTCAATCAGTTTCTCTGGTATCAGGAACACTCGCTCAGCCACGTCTTCATTGGCTGGTTTGGAGTCGTTTCTATGGAAACGCTCCACCACTTTCTGAATGAGCAATAAACAAAACAAACAAAACACATCCACGTAAGCATCCTGTGGCTTTTAAAAACAAAGCAACAATGTAGCCCGAGCTGGTTCCTCCTCTCAGGGGGCGAGCGCTTCAGACCAGCGGTCCCCGACCCCCCGGCTGCGAGAGGTGAGGCTCGGGTGTGATGTTTATGTCAGCTCGGTTTCCCGTGTTGTAGTTGTGTGTCTTATTTTGAAAGATATATTTACGCTTTACCATAGTGACCAGAGAGCATTAAGGGGCAGAGAGGAGGACGTTACTCTCAGTGTTGTTGGCGCGTTTCAGGAGGACGCTGCTAATAAAGTTACACAATTACTCAGTGAATTCACGTTTATTATGAATAAATTTACAAAATGTTTTTGTCTCGGTCGTATCATTTTATTTTGGTGTATTTATCCGCGACACCTTAAAGGCCGGTCCGTGAAAATATTGTGTGACATTAAACCGCCCGTGGTTGAGGACCGCTGCTTTTGACCATGAAAAACTGGGACTGTAGTGGAGGGAGCTCATCTGTAATCTGCTACTTGTAAAATGAGACTTTACGTCTGGTTACAGTAAAACCACCAACATTTTACTCTTCAATCAAGTTTTCCAAAAACTTTGAAACATGACATCCCGACCAAAGGCCCAGATGTGGACTGGGGGCCGTACAATGCCCAGATGTGCTTTACGTCTGCAATCCTATTCTTTCAGTCACTGAGCAGAGTCCCGTAACCTGCTGAGGACCAGCGCTAATCAGGAAAAAGTTTG